GTCCTGAATGCCATTTTTTGTAGCGTAATATTGTTTTCAATGTTGAATTTCTCGCTTGTTCTCAGCAGAAATGCTTTCCGAGTCGGTGATAGCTTCCCCACGGATTGACTACACTGACGCTCTTTAAATTAAATTAAAGATTTAAAAGGAGTTATAACAAGACTAATTGAATAAAGTTTAATTTCATTTCATTTCATACATTGTTAATATTAAAGCTCTACAGATAACAAATTTTGAATCACTAAAGCACATCAATGAGGTAATATTTCTTTAAAAATAATAATTATTAAGTTTATTTGTCTTGTAATACAAGAGTAGTTACGTCGGTCCTCGAGCGCGTGCGCATGGTCCAGTGGCTATAAATCTATCGATAATAATCGAATGCAGTCGGTGCCGCGTCGATTTATGATAATAAGTATGGGAATCAAGAGAGACGTGAACTCGCGTAATTTACCTACTAGATTAACTTAGGATTCAACTTGCACTAGTTAGGGGAATTAATGTTTTCGTATTATGATAATATAACTATACGAGTATGTAGTTGTTAAATACATAGTTTAATTGAAAATTTAGAGCTTAACAAAATTTCTGTACATGCTTATCATCTCTGTTGTCAAAATGCAGCGTATAAAAATTTTCATTTGAATATAAACCCCTATGTACTTATTACTTTTATTTTTTGGAAGGACATTAAAACATAATAATATCTTAGTACTAACAATATCTGATATTGTAACAAATTAATTTATTTAACAATTTAAATGGCGACATAAATCACGTTTTTGTTTACTTTTCGTTTATGCCAACACCATAATATTGTAGGGATAAACACTTATTTTAAATACACCTTTACCTTTCCAAAATTCCACATTCCCTTATTTTTTTAAATATTGTCTATTTTTCTTGTTAGCCAAATTCACATAAAGATGGATATGATTAAGATGCTATAAATCAGAATCAATAATCAACCATAATCGATACACGATGCCGATACCGACGATCGATTTATAATAGTCGGGAAGCTATCTATGGGCTTAGGAAATGACTACGATGTTATCTAAAAAATATAACTATATTAACTTTGTGCAGTGATTAATGCGCCAAATACTTTAATTATTATGTTGGATAGTGATGCACGTTGAGTGTTAAGTGCAGCTTAAGCAAAGTTAAAGTCACGACTTCCTATATTATTTATAATCTATCAAAGGCTAAACGGCCTCGTGGTACTTGAGGATTGCGAGTATAAATCGGAAATAATAATCATATGGTAATTTCTGTAACCTTTTTCATAATTGGCTTTATGATAGTAACTTATTTTGTTATTCTGGATTTTGTTATTGTTGTGGTGTCTGAAAGTAGTGACAAAGGTCGAAGATTATATTGTGTGTTTGTATGTCAATAAAGTTTCTAAGATTAAACACTGTTCTTCGAACTGATTGCTATTACGGCGACCAATTTCACTGAGACTAACCAACTGCATGGGATATCCCATTATTATAGTATACTAGTGTGTGGACAGACGCAACTGCACTCTCTCCTTTACCTCTCAAACTCGACATGACAGTAAAAGCTAAAGCGCAGGACCGATAACTTAACGTGGTGTCTAAGGCACGAGGGTGTAAACACCACCATATTCACACCATAGACCAGGGACAACAAGACTTCACACCCCCAGACTGCTACTGATTTTATTTGTCATCCATGACTACTGAGTATTTCGTGACAAAAAGTCTCAGTAACTTTTATATGTTTTTAAACCATTCAAGCCCAATCCAAAAATTCGAAGCAAAGACCTTTCAATTTACAGCCATACTGCATACATGGCCCACGAGACAGTTAAATTTGAATAGTATTAATATTATTATATTTGAATAATACAATTTCAAATTCAATACAATTAATTTTAAATTTAAAAACTTAATACTTTCTTAGATTTACGCGAATATTTGACATTTTAAATAAAACTATCTTTTCGGATTTTGTCGCGGATTTATTTGGATTTTTGTTTCCCGACGTTTCGAATGCTTTACAGCATCCATGGTATATGGTATATATTCGCTTCGATAGACCTCAAATCCTGGCGAAAGAAAACCGATATCGCCCTAGAATGATTCGAGAAGCCATAGAAATTAAAAAACATCCTAATTTCAATAGGGAAGATGGCTGGGTACTACCATCGTCATGGGATCCTGTTATTAATATAATAAAATCAAATAATAAATATAAACATAACAGACAGGCAGATGTAGTAAGTTCATACTGTGTGGATCAAAATGACAGCTTATCAGACTAATATTTTTCATTTTTCATTTGTAAAAGTATATATTAATAGTGTTGCTTAGTAAGTTGTTTTTAAAAAATAGCAAACTAAATTAAAATTATTATCCTTAATTAATTTTAACTTTTTTAAATTACACATAGAACAATTATATGGCTTTAATAATTAATACTACATTTTATATTTTTCTTTATGGTTATAAATATAATAATGGCAACACTAAATATAGATTACTAATTAATATTTTAAAATTGTAATAATTATAAAAATAATAGCAAAATTAAATAAATAATTTTCCATATTCAATTATAATTAAAATTATAAAAATGTTTAAAGTTAAAAAATATTGTAATGTAATTGGTGCAATTTTCATTTTGTTAATTGTGGGTAGGCTGTCTGTAACAACTATACACTCAAGACATGTAACACCTCAGTCTCTCCCGTGACCATGGATGCTGTAAAGCATTCGAAACGTCGGGAAACAAAAATCCAAATAAATCCGCGACAAAATCCGAAAAGATAGTTTTATTTAAAAACTTATTTAAATTTAACAATGCGGCGACGGGATATAATAATCTCGTCACATGAGTACATACTTGGACATGTGACATGGACAGTACAAAACACCAACTTTAAAGTTAGCTCAACATCATGTTTTTTTTAGAAGTGGGTTTTTTTCTCACAACGACTTTTTTTACTTTAATGAAAGTCTTAAAACAAAAAATATGGAAATAACTGTAGGTGACAGTTTATCTTAATTTTAATTAAAAAAATTGTAATAGATAGTACTTGGATGGAACTTCAGCAGAAAAATTATTTTTCTTTATTATTATTTCTATTTTATGTATGTTGTATACTATTTATCTACTCGTATGATTTTTTTTACTCCCTATACTATAATTAGAAAACCTAAAATATTATTTAGTTGTACATTGAAATATTTTCATTACATTGATACCATTTAGATAAAAGCAACAGGAAAAAATTACTTATTGACAAAGTATATTCATTTAAAAAAAAACAAGAATAATTTTTCCTATAAAACACAAAAAAAAACAGATATCTGACCCTTTATTATCAAGTGGTAAAGTGACAAATGGGGTACGCCTCAGTTAGCCGCAGGTAAGAATTAATTAGCACCCTTATTAATTTGGAGGCTGTCTGCCCCTCCTTACTGACGGCGGCTTTATACGTATACTGCCTTTCATACAGTAATTGTATGCTCTAAAATGATCTACTATAGTTATTAATTTTTTTAATTTATTATACTACCTAGACGTTCCGTTGCTTATGTTTGTTTATTTTTTTATATAGTGAAAATTAAAATAAAGAATTTAATTATTAAATATGCAACATCTAGTTTAGTCCTTTCGAAGTAAATAAACTTTAAATATCTTTTTTTTTTGCTTTAAATTAATATTTAAAAGCTTTCGCCAACGAAGATCTTGATTCTGAAATTTTATCCAACCATAAAAATAAATTAAATCTTCATTTAAATATGAATTCTGTATTGGATTATTAGCGACATCTAGTGGGTAGTAGCGAAGTAAAATCTATGATGGGATTAACATTAGATGGCGCTTGTAACGGGTTTATATAGTTAATAGTATATAAATTATATTGACATACTTGATACTATTGTATATATTTAATATGAACACTTTGTTTCAAATTAATTTTTGCTTTTAATAATTTCTGTCAATTATTCGAAAATAGCTACCAGCTCATAATCTATAAATATGTATAATAAAATTCTGAGTCGAATCTGTACATTAAATATTTTTTGGAAAAATCTTATTGAAATAGACATTATTATCGATACAGAGGCCGAATCTATAGTTTTTAGAATTTTTGTCTGTCTGTTATCGCATCACAGAAAAACCACTGGAGGGATTTTGATGAAACTTGGTATGGCGATAGCTGGTTATTCGGGTCAACATATAGGATACTTTTTACCGCGGGAAAATATCTCATTTCTGAGAAAAAATACAAAAACTGCAATATAAGAGTATATTAATATGTAAAACCTAAGAATTTGGCTTTTGGTCATCAGAACGCGGGCGTAGCCGCGGGCAATGCTAGTTAACAATAACAAGTTAAATATTCCTGTAGCCAATTGGCATATACGGAAGCTTTATAATATTATCATGTCCTTCATACAAAGACATTAAAAGGTACCTAGATAGATAAAATGTATAGAAATTTCAAACCAAACGGACAGCGTATACGTGTGTATATCAAGCGGTAGTATACGTGTAGGTATGCCAAGTACATTCTCCATCCTTGTAATTACGACTAGGTATATACAATTTAGTGCCTCGTAAAATCTAAATAATTTTGGACACTAAAAACGAATACTAAAGCTTTTGATACTTAAGTTTCGATTCATTAATAAATAGGTCACCTTATCAAATCCTCTAAAATAAGTATAAATAAAAGAAGTAAGAATTTCAACATTTGTATAGTTATATGGAAGTAAGATACCCATAATCGAGAGTATCTAAAGATTATCTAGTATCGACAACACATTACCCAACTTTCTAATCTCGAACCTGTCAATCCCATTGTGATAGTGGACTGAAGATCGAATTCTCATCCGTTATCAATAGCGAGAACACTATCTTAAAAATTCTTACTATGTTTTAATACGTGGATCTCGGTGATAGTGTGTTAGAAGTATTCAATTGAATGCTAGAATAGTTGTATTGTAATGATCGGAAAAATGGATAGGCCAAGCACGAGTCAGCAATCTATAGAGAAGGTGGAAATGTTCGAAGTCCGCGAACATGTTCCTTACCAAGCAGAGCTGACGCGTGCTCCCGCCACATACGACGAAGAGAGCGGGGAGATATACAGTTCCTCGTGGAACTCCGCCTGGTCCGCCATATGTCAGCTGATTAACTTACTCAATCATATGCAAATTGCTTTTGTGGTGTTCTGTATATGGAATTTTGCATTAAACTCAGAAGCTGACGGATCAATCTCTAATTTGCAACTACATATAGTTTTCGCGGGTACTGGGGTAACGTATTGGTTTTATTTATTATATTTCTGTACATTTACCTACTTAATTTCTGTTCATTCTAGTGAATTAATTAATTAATACTTAACTGTAGTTAAGGCGTAATTTAGCTATAAATGAAGTATCCATAACAGTAAATTAGCAATATATGTCGATAGTGCTTGTTTATATAATTATCTAAAGCCTGTAAATACAATGAAATAAGGAATTAAGTAAAGTTGTATATAATAAACTATTAATTTACTTTCAGAGTTTATTTTTTCTTAAAATATATCAAATTTTGTTCAATAACATAATCTGATACGAAAGCACTCCATATTATTATAGTGTTTTTTTCCATTACAATTTTTTAGTACCAACTATTCATGGTTGAATCCATTCTGACGCTGCATAAGCACAACTCCTGGTCTTTTCAACTGAGCAATGACAGCAAAAGGATAATTCACGGATGTCTTCAACTACTCGGGTCAGTTTTAGTCCTGGCGGGAACCTTTTTAGCATTAGCTAAAAAGAATATGGCAATAGAGACGCCTCATGGAATTTGCGGTAAGACGATTACATATAGTTATCAAGTATGAATTGAGAGATAGGGTCACGAGTGCCAGCGTGGTGAATTTATTATGACATCGATAGTATACTTACAATCGAAGATAAACTTACATTGCGTACGAGGCATTGTAGGTAAAATACGAGAGCTCTGACGATAGGTGATAAAGCAATTTATAACATATTATTGAAACCTTATCTAAAATTCTATAAAGATAAAAACTTAAAAAAACGACTTTAAAAAAACACTAAAAAGGAAAAAAATAACTGATTCGTAGTTTTTATTTACTATAGATTCCTAATCAGGTATTTTAGAAGTCGGTGTGCTTTGATTTGTATCGGCTGGCACGGACAGCCGAATTGAGAACCTCCTCATTTTTGAAGTCGGTTGAAAAATTGAAACGTAGACATCTACATGTTTCGGTAAAAAATAGTCAAAACATTTTATATAGATAGGTATAACTATAAATACTCAGATAGAGAAGGTGAAATAATATAAAGTAATATAATTTTGTTTCATTTTCCAGGTGTTATCGCTCTTGCATTTACTCTCATAAGCTTCGTCTCCGGCATCATAACGTTGTTTTCCTCTAAAGTAAGGTTAATGGTTAAAAATGGACCGGCCAGAATACTTCATATTTCTGTCGGTATTTTTGCTGTGTCCATGGGTCTTTTAACTATAGTACTAGGTTTTAATGGACCATATTTTAGAACTAGCCAAGAAGGATTAGCGACTGCTTTAATGACATTTGTTGTTCTAATCCTATTTTATGTTCTCATTCAACCAATTGCAGACTTAATTTCAGCAACTCGGAAGAGTTTGTGACTATTTAACATTGCAGGTTCCGTCGGTGGTGACAGTAATGCTTAAGAAATACTATTAGCACATATACAATTAATATTTTTTACATTCATTTTATTCAAATATTATACATTGTCTTATTTATGGTTAGTTATATTATAAAAAAATCAAGAGGTGTCGTGGGACCCTGGTACGGACGAAGTTCCTTTCACTGTCTGCCCTTGGCTCATAAATTAGGTCATAAATAATGTCACTAGGGTATCACAAACACCTAGCAACGTACATTGTACATGTTAAAGCTTATCAAAGAAAGGTCTGCACCGAGTGCGCACGAGTTTCTTACTGCATACATTCCATAATACTTATGATCGCTTTGTACTTATAATGACGTCACATGGGGTAAATGGGTTTTAGTAAATAATAAAAGTGTAGTTACGGACGAAATATTACACTTTATTCCATCTAGCTTCCATTTGCTAAGGGACTTCGTTCCGAATAAAACAATTATTTATTGATGATCATAATCATAATTATACATGCTGTAATCTATTCAACCAGGCATGAGACAAAATGCAAGCAAATTCAATTTTTTTTTCAAATGATACGTTCGATAAAGAAATGAAAATATTAATATAGTGATTATAAATATAAAAAATATTTTTAAAAGTGTTATTACACATGGATTTATATGATGTAAAATGGGATATTTACCTGCCATGTTTTTACACTCAAAAGTACAGTTATGAACAATATTGTAACTCATTTTAACATAAAAAATGAGAAAAAGGGAGAAGAGAAGAATACACAATAAAAAGGTTGAGAATCACTGGGTTCTTTGCACTTTGTCTCACGCCCTATTGAATAGGCTGTAAGTGTTACCAACAACGTTATAGTATTTGTTAGACTTAAGATAGAATTACCTGCATATATTTAAGTTCTTCCTTTTATTTTTTTTATTTACATTTTACCTATTAATATATTTTATTTTGTAATGTATGGAAATTTCTATTAGTTACAAATTTTTATGCGTAACTTTAAGGTTACACATTAAAAAAGTTCAGGTTTGTATGATAATAGGTTCACTTTGGTTTGTACGATGATATAAAGCCTTCGAATCAATATTACTTTGATAATATTTTGCATTAAATCAATAAAAAAAATCTTTATGCAAAACAATATTAAGAATTCTGAAAAGTGTAAATATATAACTTCGGAAGATATTGTTATATTTTGTAACTTATAATATTAATTTGTCTAATACTACATAATTTTTGATTGAATTGTTAATGAAAACGTTTGTACTTATATTATTATTGTAGTATTTATAATAATATTAAGTAGGTATAAGTGGCCTATCATGTGCATGACTGGTTTCTAATAAAGGATATTATAAACTTTTTTGCGTTTTTTTACTTGCAAATCTTGTGAACTGTCTACAATAGTATTTTATTTTTCTTCGATATTCGGCGTAGGTACATTAAGAGAATAAAACCTTTGTGGCATTTACCAACCGCCGACATTTCTTTTTTTCAACATTACGGTGCACAGTGAACCTGGTACACTTGGATAGAATAATTCAACTCCTATGTATTGAAAATATCGGCACATGATCCTCTAAATTGTTACGAATCTCAGATAGGTAATTGAAGATAAAGACAAATAAATGAAAACGATGACAATCATTACAATCGGACAAGTGCGAGTCTTACCCGCACACCGAAGGTTACAAACCATGACACATTTAATTTATATTTTGTTTTTATATACCAATTTGTCATGTTAAAGTAAACTATTTTCGTGGAAAGCAATTTGGAAGCTCTATTATCTCAATTTTTTTCCGACCCATAGGTACCTAACTTAAAAGGTAGAGAGAAGGTGGAAGGGGACACAGCGTTAACGACTACAATATTAATGTTATTACTACAAAGTTAACTTTGCGGTATTCATGCTAGAAATGTAAAATGCAAAAAGTACTCAACGTATCTTCTTAAATAAAATTCGTTTAAAATATTACGGGAGGCTCTATTATCTGAATTTTTTCAAAATATTTCAACCCATACTTCAAAAGTTAGAGGGTATGGGGAGGGAACATAGCTTTAACGACTTTAGAAGCTTACAACTCTGCGTCAGGCATCTATAGGATTGAGCCCCATCTTTTTTAAGTCAATAATATTTTACTTTTAAAATTACAAATAAATATATTAAAATCAAACAACGATGTTTAATGCTACAAAACTGAACTCTCGTTGTGTGACTGTAAAGTGTACTGTAATGGTTTTTAAATTATGATGAAATGCATACAATTTAATAATTTTTATTATAATAATATGCAAAACGATATTGTCACTTTTTAGTCAGATCCGACATTATTATACCTACGACCAATGCAATATTGTTATTTGTATTAAAACTTTATTTCTTTTTTCTTAACAAAAAATATTTTTTTTTCTTAATAAAATTTTTAAACGTAACCTAATTTCAAAAAACCTACTGTCATGCTTTTTAGTCTGTACAATGTGTTGTCAATACTCAATTGTCTTCCGATCTACTGTCATAATCCGGCATAGCTAAGCAGTAATCGAATAACTATAATTCTGCAAATATATTTATACATTAAACTTAACGTTAACTGTTTGTATTATCAAAATGGTAAGTTCTTATATTTATGTATAGTATAAACTTTCTGCTTTTAAATTAAATGACCTAATAATAGGTTAACATGTAATTGCTTGGTCATTGAAGCTCACAACAAAAAACATTTTTAAAATTACAGGCTCGTCGTTATGATACGAGAACAACAATCTTTTCGCCGGAAGGTAAAGTATTTATTTAACATCTTCTCTATCTCATATACTTGATAAGCATTATTGATACATGATATTATTTTCATATGTATCTTGAGATGCTTATTAACTATATCTTATGTATTACAGGCAGATTGTACCAAGTTGAATATGCTATGGAAGCTATCAGTCATGCTGGCACTTCTCTTGGTATCCTTGCCACTGATGGAATTTTACTTGCTGCAGAACGCAGAAATACTAACAAACTTTTGGATGAAGTGTTTTTCTCTGAAAAAATATACAAGCTAAACGATGACATGGTTTGTTCTGTAGCTGGTATCACATCTGATGCCAATGTCCTAACTAATGAGTTAAGATTGATAGCACAAAGATATTTGCTGCAGTATGGAGAGTCTATTCCCTGTGAACAGTTGGTTTCCTGGCTGTGTGATGTAAAACAGGCTTACACACAATATGGAGGTACTTAAGTTTTTTTTTTTACTTTAATAATATGTCATCATATAAGAAATTAAGTATAATATAATGCTATGCTTAATGTAATTATATTATAATATATACTTATTGATAACAAAAAGTACTAGATACACATTCCCATGCAAAAGTTCTCTTAAAACTGTCACCAATTGTGTTTAAGTAATTATTCTAGTTGAAATAAATATACAACAATGTAAATTGAACCTTAATGCAATGCTTAGTTGTATTCTTTAAAAAAAATATTAAAAGTGCACTCAAATGTTCAAATGAGTGCTTAATGTGTGAGGACATCTTTTGTCGCTGATTGTATATCTAATACTTTTTTGATCGATGTATATTGTGTATACTTAAAACTAAACAGAGTTAAAAAAAATTATTTCCATTTAAGGCAAGAGACCATTTGGAGTGTCTATACTCTACATGGGATGGGACAAACATTATGGCTATCAACTGTACCAGTCAGATCCCAGTGGTAACTATGGTGGGTGGAAAGCTACCTGTATAGGAAATAATAGTGCTGTAAGTATATAATATATGGGTGTCTTTATAAAATTATAAATATTGTTTTTCATCTAGATAGAACTTGATATGTTTTTCTTCTTTTATATGTAAAATTATATCATTAATAAAATTAATTACATCATTTTTGAGCATGTTTCTATTCTTTAAGGCTGCAGTATCAAGTCTCAAACAAGAATATAAGGAAAATGAAACAACATTGGCTGAAGCACAAGCATTAGCTATCAAAGTTCTAAGCAAGACTTTGGATATGACAAAGCTCACCCCAGAGAAAGGTATATATTAATTTTGAAATAAAATATTTTCCGTTTTCTACATTTAAATGTATAAAATATGTATTTTTTTTTCTTTAGGATCTATAAAAAAAGTAACTATTATAAAAATAACTCACATATTGGTAAAAACCAATATGTGAGAAACTATATAGATAATAGATAACCTGTAAACAATTTGAATTAGGAAATATATTCAAACAAACACTTGATAAATATTTTTATGGGTAATTAATTTAGTTTTCAATAAGATTTAATTGTTTTTAAAATGATTTCATTTCTAAAGATCAAAATAAATCTAAAATAGTGTGAAGAACTGAAATTACTCTATAATTTGACATCAATTACTATAATATTAATTGCAATGTATGATTAAGACTTTATTAATTATAATATAATAAAATTTAATTAATGATTACAATAAATTATTTCTTTTCAAAGAAATTTAATAAAAACATTTAATCCAAATGTCACACAATATGTTTAATTTCACATACAAAACTTTTTTTCTTACAGTTGAGATGGCAACCCTGACACGTAAAGACAACAAGACTATAATCAGAATTTTATCCAGTACAGAAGTTGAAAAATTGATTGCTGACTTCGAAAAGAGTGAAGCAGAAGCCGAGGCTGCCAAGAAGCTGTTACCTAAATCATAATTTTGTACAAGCAATTCTATAATACTTTTATTTGCACATTAAATATTTTACTTGAATATTTCTTAATTTTGTTTACATTCACCTGCAGTATATCTTATATATCTTTAAACAAGCAATTCTTGTATATATATAATCTGAATCTCGGAAACGGCTCTAACGATTTTCATGAAATTTAGTACACAGGGGGTTTCGGGAAGGATAAATCGATCTAAATTAGTTTTATGTCTGGGAAAACGCGTGTTTTCATGCGGTTTTTCGCATTATTCCGCGCAAAATATGCTCGCTATTTCGCACGCTAAGGCATTAGCATCAAGGCGCAAGTTTGACAACTACAGGTGTCTGTGTATGTATCCCAGTCGGATACAAAGTTTTACTTTTGTTTGTTTTTTTGTATTTATTCGAATTTTTAGTTTGTTTTTGTTTTTTTGGCCAAAAACTCTGAGCGAAGCTCGGTCTCCCAGGTACTGTATTTTGAAAAGAACAATGATGGTGACACATGTAAATCGTCAATAGGGAATATGCCTGACTTTTTTAATTTTTTATACAATAACTTACATCGTTATATAATTGTAAAAAAGTATCCAGCTCCAAAAAACTAAACGCTTGGCGTGATGTCGCAGGATATACATAAAAAAAATTATAATTCAATTTGTATTTTGTAGTGACAAAATAGCTATAGTTTGTCCACATAGAGTATATTGCTACATATATAAAGTTTGTCCATTTTATGAATAGTTTCTTTGATAGCTCACACCCATGAAGTTTCGTATTGTTTAAGTTAAAAATTCATTCAAATAAATAATATTGTACTTCATGGATGGGTACCGCCCCCTTAGTGATGTACCACACATAACGATTACTACGATTGTGCCACAGATTACAAATAATTGGTAGAAATAAATGCTAATAATTATGTAACTAAACTCAGGAAAACAACAAAATTTTAAGGTTGAAACCAATAAATTAAAATATTAACATTATATAAAGTTTTACTTTCTTCTTAGTATAAGGCATACAAATAAAACAACTATAATAGTTTAATTCCTTTTATTAACATGAGTCGTCAGAATCATCATTTATACTAGATTCGTCCGATGAGGAGTCTTCAGTAATATTAATGATTAGCTCTTGTGTGCATAAATTATGAAATACAATGTCACGGTCCCAATCAGACATTATGACTCTCTTAGTTCTCTTCACTACACTTGCCCACTTCTCGACCATCACGTGGATGCAAGCGTTTTTGAGTAATTGTAACGTTTTATTCGCTGTGAAAGGGGGGCTTGTACTGTTTCTTGCAGCATGCCCTTTTACTTGTGCCCATATAAGTTTTATGGAGTGCGGTATGGAAGTAGTGATATGGAGGAATCCTAAGGACGATACGACCATATTCTGATACCATTTCACACATACCGTTTTGGTTTCTTTTTGGTTTTTAATATTTTTAACAATTCTATTTTTAACATGGAATCGTCCACATTTGCTCCATTTTCGCGAAGCCAATTAATAATTTCATGTTGTTTATTAGCTTGCGTTAGCATTTTGTAAATTTTACCTATATTATAATATTACCTATATTTTTTAGAAAAAAAAATGAGCGATATCGATTATTACGTCCTTTAGGACATCACTATAACTTGTCAGTCGTCGAGCTGTTAAAAATCTGATATTAAAATTTAAAATGGAAAAACCATAATGATACGATAACAATATATATACTGATATTATATATATTCAGAATATATATTCTGACTTCGTATTCGGTCTGACCAATGGCGCGGGCGTTCGTTTCAACTACTTTGTATTTCTCACCTATATTTTCACATTTTAATAATTCTTTTTTTAATCAAAAAGAAATTACTTACGTTAAAAAAATATTAGTACAAGCTTAATTTAAAAGCAATAAAGATTATTAAAAAAATATATTTCATCTGTATTTAAATCACACGCATATTCCCTATTGTGACTGGTTCTGACGAAAATGAGTTATTTAAATATTATTTGCTTTAAAATGCCTGGTAAAGACAACACATAAGTACATAACATACATAACATACACATACATACATAACTACATAATATAACAGTTTGAATTTTTATTTAAATTAATTTCTTTTTTAACTTCTGTGACTAAAAGAAATGCTTAAAGGCACAGGTCAGTTGCGGCAGCATAATAATAAAAGCAAACACTATTATAAGGATTATCATTTACCATATTATTTAATATGCTTAAAACACCTAAATAATTTTAATACAAGGTGCCATATATATAAAAAATCTATAACAAAAAAATCTAAAACAATATCACATTCAAATAGGTACCTCATTAATAACGCTAAGTTTAGTTTCCTGTGTTTTTATCTCAATTCCCAAACTCAAATTACAAGTAATAAACTTTACTACAGAAAATGAATACTCTTTTTACGAAATAGATACTTTAAAAATAGTAAATTACATAAATGTAATTTAGTACGATTTACATTATTTTGTTTTTCAATTTAGTTCAAAGGTAAACGACTCGGCCTAATATCTATGTATCCGAGTTTTAAAAATGACATTGACTTACTTAGTGTTAAATTTTGACATACTTCATTTATCTGTGACATTACAATTTGTAATTTGTATTTTCTCTTTTCCGTACAAATGCTGTTAAACTTTTAAATTTTATGTCCAAATAATTTGAATATAATTGCAAAATATGGCTGTAGAACGTGCAAAAAATAATGTTGTTGTACCTAAGAAATCTAGACTAGAAATGAACGTACGCCAACTATTAAACAGATGTGAATTATTCGCTAAACAAGATCCTGTAGATGCGGACTGTAAGCTCAAACAATATGTGAAATCCTTAAATGATATGATCACTGAACTAAAAACCGGACCCGAGTAAGCTTCTCAAAACACTATAATGTGATTACTATATAAAAGTAAAACGATAACATATCATGTTCACTTGCAGAAAACCACCAAAAGATGTTTTAGCTGAGTATATTAAAAGGGGGGCTTTTCTTAAAGGGCTCATTCAAACAGCTAGCCTAAACAGCCCAATTGAAAAGGTATTATTTTTTGTTTACATGTAATTTCTTTTATTGTAATATAATTAGAAGTTAAAGTTATAACTGTCAATTTTAGTGGTATGACAACAAGTCAAATATCTTATTATTTCAGCTTGAAGCAGTACAACAATTATCCCATGGTGCAGCAACTAATTCTAATGATAATGGCTCAGCTCAAGAAATACATCAAAAAACTGTTGCTAAATATGGAGTTGAGTTACGTTCAGAATTATTTGAACTAGGTAAATGTTTCTTTAACATTTAACATTTATTATTAATATTTAATGACTAGCAACTTACCCTTGCTTTGCTCGGGTTCATCCCTAGATATATTTGAATTTTGAACTGTTAGTATGGTATAGATAGACTATATATATATATATATACACATACATAAGTATGATGAGAATGGCAATGAGATAATTATAAGTATGGAAAAAAGTAGTCTCTCCATCCATCCAACTACCTCCACAAAAAAAACACGCCGTTTCGACGTGAAAGAAGGACAAACAAAGAAACACACTTTCACATTATATATTATATTCATAGGAGTATAATCCATATCCATATTACTATGGATATGGATTATACTCCTATGAATTTGTCAAAAATATAGACTTAATATTTATTTTAGAAGACAGTGACAATACTTTGAGGCAGCGCAATATAATTAAAGCAGCAAATTTTACAAGCAATAGCACCAGTCAAGAAGACATTGATTCCTTGCTTAAATACCATCAAAATATGCAAGAAAAAGTTGCTGAGAACATGGTCATGTTAACTAAAAGCTTGAAAGAACAATCGCAAATTGCTAGTACTATTATAAAAGGGGATACTGAGGTAATTAAAGAAAAAATATAATTTGTTATTGTAAGGTTTTAAAAGTATTCTTATTATTTATTTTAAATTACTTCCTTAAGTTTTGTACTAACAATGACCTGCAGTTCCATTCTTATGCTGGATATAATTAAGGTGTTTTTTTCACTTTTGTGTCATTTTACATGATCCATTTATTTTTTGTGAATGCATAGCTTTCAGAAATAAAAAAAGTATAAAAGTAAAGAAGAGCATATTGAAATTAAAAATAAACATGTTTGTATATAGTATTATTATTAAATTATAAAAATTTATTTCTCTAAAACCTGATTACTTTTGATTACAGGCATTAAAAAAATCATCTGATTTATCAGATAAAAATTTGATGTCTCTGAAAGTTGAATCTGAGAGGCTGCAAGAGCACAGTCGGAGTGCATGGAAATGTTGGCTATGGCTCATGTTGGCTGTAGTCATGGCTATATTCATAAGTGAGTTACTTATTAGTTATTATGTTATTCTATTCACTCTATGTCACACCACTGCCGGGTATGGGTTTTCTCTCAATGTTAGTTGCTAGCACAATCTATACATATAATAAAATTCTAAGTTGAATCTGTACATTAAATATTTTTTGGAAAGTCTTATTGAAATAGACATTATTATCGATACAGAGCCGGAACCTTTAGTTTTTATGTCTGTCTGTCTGTTACCGCATCACGGGAAAACCACTGGATAGATTTTGATGAAATTTGGAATGGTCATAGCTGGTTATCCGCGTCAACATATAGGATACGGATGCGGGAAAATATGTCATCTCTGAGAAATCTATACTAAAAGCTAAAACGTAATTAGGGATGAACTCGAGCGGAGCGAGGGTGAGTCGCTAGTTTAGCTATAAATCTACCCTATTGGGCGAAGGGGGTATGCAGACTATGTATGAAACTGATTAGATTTTCTCAGGACTTTGGATTTTGGCCTTGTGTGATTTGTTTTGACAAGCCCATCCTATATATTTATAATATGTATGTATTTAAAGTTATATATGTGTAGTGTATCAACTATCTGGTATCCATAACACAGGCCTCGTAGCTTACCATAGAACTAGATGGTAGTTGTGTGTTAATGTCTCAACATATTTATTTATTACTGTTATTATAGTCCAAAGCGTGTTTTGTGAAGTTATTGAAAAACTGTAAATATCCAATTATATTAGAAAATGAGCTGTTACTTTATTATATATAAACTTTTTTTAAATCACCTTTTACTTTCAGATATGGTATTGTTTATGAAAGTCATGAAGAAGCGAAAATATGAAACATGAATATAACAATATTTATAAATAATAGTCTATAAGGTTAGTACTTTAATTTGTTATTTACTTCATATTTATAATTTATCTTTTCATGTATTTGAAATAAACTGTGTATTATAACTGTAGTTTGCTTCACTGTATACTTGAACTCTCTCTATGTTCCTTTAACCAATAATACGAGTACATCCTTTGTTTGGGGCTCTTACTACCACAGTAATACCAAAAATGCGAAAGTTTATATGCTTGCTTTTATTCAGCTCTTTTTAACGTCCCACAGCTGGGCACGGGCCTCCCTATAGTACGCGGGGGATCAGGCCATAGTCCAGCACGCTGGCCAAGTGCGGGTTGGCGGACTTCACATGTCTTTGGAAAATGTGCTAGGTTTTTCAGACGTGCAGGTTTCCTCACGATGTTTTCTTTCATCATAAGACAAGTGGTAATCTGGATGTATGTACGCAAAAATTACTGAATGCATTTGAATGATACTTTACAATAATATAGCTCATACATCAGAATGATAAAAACATTTTATCCCGCAAAAACGTACGGTTCTCGTGGGATAGTTCACTAGTAACAAATAAAGGAGGATAAAAAGGTACTAAACTGTGTTGTCATTATGAGACAAATTGGTCAATTAAATCAATATAAAATTAACTTATTCACCTGTTTCCATATATAATATTCGAAAGTGGCTCAGTTCTCTATATCAACTTTAAATACGATGATTTCTGATATTTTTTTCTTTATATACATCCAAGAAACCTACCACCATCCATATCAATTTTTAACTTTCTAAACCACCTGATCCCGCCAGCGTATCGCTTGTTTACTTGACGAACTTGGCTGACCTTCTGTCGTGTATCGAGATATCGAATAAATAAAGCATTTCTTGATTGAAATATGTTGAGCATTGAGTTGCTTAAATAGTTTTATATTATTCATGCTTTATATATATATATATATATATATATATATATATATATATATATTAAAGGAAAACAATGTTTAAGCGCATTAAGAGAATAACAAAAAACCATGATATTTTTATATATATTTACTGAAATTGATACTTTACGTGAATAAGCTGACAAGATAGAAATCAATATTAAATGTACATTTAGTATAACTTCACCATATTGGAAAATGTTAATGATACTTAGTGCATATGAGGAACTTAGAGGAAAACATGAAGAGACGCGTTAAATAATTTTCGTCTATATCGATCTCAATGTAATCAAATATCTAACATAAATGTTTATATAAATAATAAGCAGTATTTTATATATAATTATAAATTTATTATATCTAAAATACTGCTTACTTTTTAAAGCTTTTAATTGTATAGAACTGATCCATAAAAAATATTATATTATCGATTAAAATTAATAATAGGTATACACTATACCTTAAGGTCGATGTTTGAAAACTTATCAACTTATTCATATTTAGCACAGTGCATTTAAATATCACTAAGGAAATCTTAATTAGCTGAAATTTTATTGAGCTCTAATAAATAGCATTTACTAGACTTTACATATTATATATTTTAATGTGCGTGTTTTCGTTGACCCTACAAGCTTCGCAGAATTTTATAATCTACAAAATTATACGATTAGATGTGAAGTAAATATAAAGAAAATAAAGGGATATGATCCTTTAAATAGAAATATGAACGATTATATTTTTTTTAAATAATAGAATTTGGTACTAGATATATGAAGTAACTTTCTAAGAATTCAAGTTTTGTCGATACTAAAATATTTTATCATAATTAAGATAGATATATTTTTAAAAATATCTACGTTGTGTTGAAGATATTCATTATTTCGTAATATTTGGTGTCTATTTTATTTGATTGCGAAGACGAAACTCCATTTCAGATAAGACTCAATAAAAAGGATGCTATTTTACATCTTACGTTGGTCTTTTAAGCTTTTGCTCATAATGCTTCAATTCATATCTAACAAAAGTTTAAATATAACTATGCTATATATTATTATTATACAATAAGAAATGTATACTATTAAATATGGATTATAATAGATCAGATATATTTATTCATAGGAAATTGGTAAATAGTAAAATATGTTGACTGTCGTGGTCTTCGTTCAATCAGTTTCTTTTACTTAATACAACTATTTTTAGAGAAAAAGCTTAAGAAGTGCGAAGTGGTAATAAAGTATGGATATACAATAAATATTTCTATAAATAAACATGTGTATGCTGTAATAAGCAGATAGAATATTATATCACTTTCGAGGATATCTTGGACCACACATCGGTACCGCTTCCAATACCATTTACCTTTCATAACTTCCAATAAGATGTTATTGTCGATGTTAAATACTTGGACTTGATACATTACATTATAATTTATTTAAAATGTATAGGCATTAAAAGTAAACCTAGCTCACCTTGGCGCGAAGTCAAAAAACGCACAGGAAGGTGACCCACTTCGGTGGGTGGTGTTCAATGCGAGTTGCTCTTGGTACTTCTCTGATAGCAGGGTGGACCTTGGAGCAACCCCGTGGTTGTTGTGGTCTGCTTCGGCAGATCTGCCGTCGGGGCCGAGGAGTTGAATGCGTAAGCGATCCTGCGACGCCCCATTAAGACTAGGGAGGTTTTGTTGGTTTTTTTTGGGTAGTACTGGCTTTTCTAGCCGGTGAGTCTACAGGTGGTATGCGTAAATGCATAATGCCTAGAATCTAGTCTATTCGTTAAATATTCTAAAGTTCTAATAGATTTGCTTTTATAAAGTTACGTTAGCTAAAGAGATAGATTTTATAGGATTTTATCAATTTCTTTGCCCTCAGGTACAGCAAGCATTAAAAGTTAAATCATAAGTGATTTGAGCATTCATTAAAGTCACTAATATTATGAAAAAACAAAAGGAAATTTAATGAATCAGCAATGAAAGCGAAGAAACACATTCTATTAATTGTTTTATATCTATACAATTAAATACATAACATAATGAACAGAATATTTAAATCATTATAAAAGTTCGTTTCAAATTTTACGTATTTTAGTAGCTTAATATGGTAGATAAGAAATAGTGATGTATCTACGTGCGACTTTAATCCGCGTTGCTATGAAGCGTTATTTTTTAAGCGTATGTCAATACTGTATTCTATTTTTTATCGTATACATCGGTCAATTCAAATTTCCATATTTTGTTTGGTCCAATTTCCGTCACGTAAAGATGAGAGCCATTTCTTGTCACCGCCAACGAATGTGGATTTGAAAACCCCTGCAATAAATACATGAATTTTATTAGTCTAAATCATTTAGTTTTACATAAGATGTTCAAAAGATATAAAAATAAAATAAGAAAAACTTACGGTACTTGGCTCCCACGTGTCCAATATGTTTCCATATAAAGCGTTAACAGTAAAACCTCTTATTGCAATGTTCTGAGAGGTCGGTCCGTTTACAGCGTAAATCATATCTCCGTGTGATGCCACAGCAAACACGCGACCTAAAGTTGGGTCTTCAATTACAGTGGCGGGTTCCAACATTTTTATATAGCTTTTCAGGCCTGCTTGAGGGCACACAATCCTCATATTTTCTCGGTCGGCAACACAAACAATATCTAGGTTCTCTAGTAATGTAACACTATGAGGTACATTTAGTGTTAGTGTATCGGAGAAGGAAGGAATAGCGAATAGAAGGGTGCCAGCTGCATTGAACTTTAAAATCTGATTATTGCAATAACCATCAGCCACAAAAATTTCGCCTGTCGTGGCAACTGCCACAGAGGTGGGCATGCAGAGTAAGACTCTACGTCGGTACGGATAGCCGGCCGTGAATGCTTCGCCAATTGTTAGACTCGGGTACTTGTGATTGTTTGGAGTGTACTGAAACCATTAATTGTTTATATTTAAAATTCAAAAAAAATATAAGACATGTAAGTAGTATTTATGACATGAAAATATTTTTTTAACAAATACAAAATTAATTATGTTTGTTCCTAAATGTGAAATATTACTGTAAACATTGGTTCTATTCCGGCCTTCAAGCAACCTGTCCCGGCTTCGCCCGGTTGCTTAAACGAGTGTTGGGTCGTTCATTGTGTCGAAGAAGTAATGAAATAAATGTGAAAGATTAAACAAAAAATATTTTCCATACAAATTTTGCCATCCTTTTCAGTGACCTGTGTTACAAGTTTAATTAAAAAAAAATCCTTGTAAAGTAATATTTTCTAAGATTTACGCGACTACTTGATATTTTAAATAAAACTATCTTTTCGGATTTTTTTCGCGAATTTATTTTGATTTTTGGTTCCCGACGTTGTCTGTAACAACTATATAATACCTAAAAGACATCTAACACCTCAGTCTCTCCCGTGACCATGATTGATGTAAAGCATTCGAAACGTCGGGAACCAAAAATGAAAATAAATTCGCGAAAAAATCCGAAAAGATAGTTTTATTTAAAATACCTTGTAAAGTAGTTATTTAATTGTGGTGAATATTTTAGCTCTTTGGAGCTTGTCTGAATATCGATGAATCTATTCATCACTCAAGTTGTTATAACGTTTTACTACTAATAACAATTTTATTAATTTACCTTAAACACTTGGTGTTTGGCTACATCAGTGACCCAAACGTTGTCGTGATGATCAATAGTCAAACCATGAGGCATATAGAATGCGTAAGCACCCCAACTGTGTAGCACTGACCCAGTGTGAGGGTCGAGTACTAGTATGGTATCTTCAATTATTGGTCCTTTGTCGAGGTTTTGATAAACATTGGATTCGTTAAATGTGCTGAAAATGTATAATAAAGAAGTAAAAACTTCTGTTTATAATATTTTTGTTTACAATGTACTATTTATAATATTTTTGTAACAGAAGTTTTATACAGAAAATTTAGACAACATCAAGTTTTAAGTTATAAATCATTAATTAAAAAAATACCTTTCGTCCCACACTCTTTCAGCTCTATGGAAAATTACAGGTTGTCCCAAAGAATTTATAGAGACAGCTGTTATTTGCCCCACATTAAGCGATTGTTGCGGCCAGTCCTTTACTTCCTGCGGTCTTAGCACTATTTCATCTTTTGGCTGTAACAGTGTATTCCTTATATTTGAATTTCAATTGCATCAAAATTAATTAAATTTTACACATTTAAATACTTACAGCATGTAGATCTAAATTTTTAAGAACGTTTTCTTCATTTCCATAGTTAAAGTAATCAAGATTATCTCTCACAGTTTCTGGTTCACAGGTTATACCATTAAATGTAACAAGTATCAGTAGGAACGACCACATTTTGCAAAAAAATATGTTATAATTTAGATCTCGTTGGTATTCATTTACTGTGTACTGAAAGAAGGTATTGATTCTTGGTCCTTCTGTTAAGTGGTTTGAACTAATACGCATGCGCTTTTCGGCATTGGATTCGTACTTGAATTTCAAGGCTAACATAGATAAGCATACTTTAAATAAAAACAAGTTTTGTTAACGATACTTTTTATTACGTAAATTCAACAAGATTTAACAAAATTGGTCGTACGAAAAAAACATCTCCAATCAGACATGGAGACAAACAAGGCATCTTAGGCATAATACGAAAATAGAAGATGAAATATAATTTCTTTCCTACCAAATCAGTCTCAGGTTCGTTGAACATGGCACATTTGGAAATATTTTACGATTCCGTTTCCACGGCATTTATATGGGGAGAAAATATGGAGTAATCAAATGAAATGGGTTAAGCCATTTGATTATTGGCCTCTCCATTGAGAGTTGGGTTGGTCCCATATGTAGCCTGTCTCGGTCATAGAGCAGACCGCATTGTAGTACTTGCCAGGACTACGGCAGTACGACCACGAGGGGCACTTGCATCGGAACAGCCTTTGGAACTCTTCCTTACATATTTCATTCCACCAACATGTTCTCTGAAATAAATAGTTAGAGAAAGTATACGTATTTATACCATTTTTAGTTATTTCGGTTCAGTGAGAATAAATTTATATGATATTTTAATCAAATTTAAAGTTGTTACATTCGTTCTCTTTATATAATTTTTACTATCTAATGGTAAGAAAATTGACTTCACATTTTAATTTTACCATAACATTAAATCAATGACTCGTTCATACTTTAGCAGTAGCTATAAATATAAAATAATATTCTTACCTCAGTAACATATCCCTTTATAGATTGATCAGAATAACTTCGCTTACTCATCGCCGCAGCCTCAAACATTGCGCTGAACATGAGTATGTAAGCTATCATTAAGTACATATTGTATTTAAACCGCGACACATTCACCAACACTATCTCACTTATGCCGTAGATACAGTCCTTAACTCAAACATAGCAGAAAAGCTTCGAAATAGACTTTATTCGGCTGCGTAAAGTAATAATTTCACGCCACTCGCCCGAGCTTAAAGCTCTGCGCGCGTGGAATTGGGACCAGACGGTTTATTTACCTATGTCTGTGTGTAGGCGGCGGGCGGTGGACAGAACAAAAGCGTGTCAAGTGTCTCAGGTATACGTCACTAATGGGACTTCCGCAGCGGTTTGATAAAGAATTCTCGTCGTACATCGTGTTTATTTTTTATTCGTTCGTTTAATATTCAGTGGGGACAGATTTTATGCACGACTTCTCTCATCAAAAGGTTTTCTTTAATATAAATAATGTCATAAAACAAACAGGTAGGTAGTTAGATTTTATTATTGGCATTTCTTTTTTTACTATTAAGCATTACAATTTTATTAATAGAAAAAAGATTGAATAAAAATAAGAATTTGTATTAAATGCAATTAAACAAGAGTTTATCATAAAATAGCTTTATTATGGACAACTTAAATAGATTTATAATCTAAACTCTAATAGGACTTTGACAAAAAATCAAAATACTACGATTAAATAAATAAATAAATTACACATTATCGTTATTAAGATATTTTTTTTAATTTTTACAATATATGCACACACAATTCTTAAGAAGAGCTGTTATGCTTCATTTTTCAATGGCACTTTACGTCAGGTTAATATGGCATATTAATTTCACACAACTCTTAAATTTTAATAAAAGCTTTGAAAAATTGAAGCTATTCATAAATTGTCACAGAATAGGTATATTAACAGCTAATGCTACAAAATTGACCTCAATTTCATATTTTAAAATACCTCTTTATTAGTTCAACGATATCTGTTTTTGAATCCAAATTAAATTAATAAATTATATATCATACATGTCAATTTGTGCAAAACATGCGATGATAAAAAATGTTCGTAAATTTCTCGCTCGGTAAAAATGTACACGTGAGAAAATTGAGGCCAATAAAAGGATAATATATCACAATCTTATGAATTTAGTACATTTTAGTAGAGACTAAATTTTCATCAACTTTGGTTGAAAACTACTACTACATTTGGAATTTGGAATACATTGGCAAAAATTGTTTTAATTTTTGCCTTTATTTTAGTGTCTTAACTTTTAACCTACATAGCTCTGAATTCCATCTTGTTATTATCGATGCTTTCATGCTCTTGTCGCCTATGTAGAGTCTCTGCGTCTTTCCTGCAACAAGCATTTTTGTTCAATTAATTTTAATATATTTAACAATATTATTTTCATCGAGCAAATTTCTTTCCGATAAGTCAGATTTAACTTTTGCAAGATATGCACTATTTAATCTGTTAATAAAGTTCAATTCAATACGTTTTATTTTCTGACATTGTTCATAAAAGTATTCAAATTTCAAAATCCCTTCGTGGTTTTTCTGTGATGCGGTAACAGACAGACAAAAATGCTAAAAACTATAGATTCGGCCTCTGCATCGATAATATTGTTTATTTCAATAAGATTTTCCAAAAAATATCTAATGTACAGATTCGGCTTAATTACAATCTATACATACATATAATAAAATTGTAATTAAGCTGAATCTGTACAATAAATATTTTTTGGATAATCTTATTGAACTAAACATTATTATCGATACAGAGGCCGAATCTTTAGTTTTTAGAATTTTTGTCTGTCTGTCTGTTACCGCATCACAGAAAAACCACTGGAGGGATTTTGATGAAATTTGGTATGATGATAGCTGGTTATCCGGGTCAACATATAGGATACTTTTTACCGCGGGAAAATGTCTCATTTCTGAGAAAAAATACAAAAACTGCAATGTAAGAGTATACTATTATGTAAAACCTAAGAATTTGGATTTTGGTCACCTGAACGCGGGCGGACCCGCGGGCAATGCTAGTTTTATTGTAAGATTATAGATAATAACTATGATATTAGACTATTAGGCACCTTAGGGACGCAGCCGAGCGGGACGAGAGTGAATCGCTTATATAAACACATTATCATTAACTTCAAAGATTAATATATGCGACAAAACGTACAAATAATATAAAATACTTACGAGTATTTATTACTAGAAGGTTGGAAGATGCTCTTAGGACAGAGCCTGTAGTACGGCCAACATTCTCCGCCAGATTCACCGGCGCGTTGTGCCTCAACATATTCAGCTAATAAATCTGCGTACGGTGATTTACTTGGACTGTAAATAATTGATGATTTTTACTAATATTTTATCGGTAGGTACTATCTTTATAAATAGGTATTATTTAACTTTAGACCAAAATCTAAATCTAGATCTGGATTATATATTATAAATACTATGTAACCAACCAATATAGGATTAAGTATAGGTTTCGATTTACGTATCAAGCGAGTGGAACCGCAGGCGTAATGTAATAAGTAATATTTATCAGACGCTAGCGATATTCAAATATGATAAAAATTGCTAAATTCATCCTGAACTTAATTGAAAAAAAAAACAGTTACTTAATGGTTTTTAGTGATGTTAAAAAAACATAAAAGCAAAAGCGCCATCTATGACGCTATATACGAGTATGCTCTATAAATCGTAATCTGATTGCTGATTTTTTAAATATATTAAATTATATAAATTTGATTTACATACGAATTATTTCACTTTCCTTTAGTTAAATTTGTTTAAAATTATATTATAGCTTTTTGGGATCTATTTTTTTACCTCTTGATAATTTAACACAATCTTTAATAACAAATCGATGCATATAATTCAATTTATTGATATTTATTCTAATATTTTTTTCTTTGTTCCTGAATGCTTCATAGTTCCTAAGTTTTAACTCCTGCATCGAAACTCATAAACTGTACGTCTTTATATTACCTAGTATAGTCTACTATAGTCTAGTCTATATAGTATAGTATTTATACTACAGCTGTATATTACCTTCATATATTGTTTATTACCATAATTACCATCACAGTAATAGAAATTAATCAGTAATAGAAACATACAACATACCTAAAAAATAGTTTCATAACTTCACCAAGAAAACCAAAGTTTTTTAGTGGATGAGCGTTTATTTCACAAATAGCCCTTAAAAGGCACTCCTTGCCGTCCAGCCCAAAATTTGCTAACAAATCCTCAGCAATTCCATACATTAAAGCTCTGAAAAAAAAACATTATAAATAAATTTATATAATTTTTTAATCGGTCATTTACTTTTTTTTGTTCTTTCCAATAGTCGCGATTCGACTTTGAATAATGATAAAGATGTTACAAATGTGGAGCGTTTAGATAACAATTTCATTTATTCTAGTTCACAACTTCCTTAAAAATTCAACACAGGTACTTATTATACTATTTAGTGACCAAATAAAATTACGCAACAGAACTTCCGAAGCACGTTAAAGGAATATCAAATGGTGTTCTCTCTCTTCCAAGCACCATGTTGCGTGCCGAATATTTGATATCGATATAGGCGAGTGAAAGTGACAGAAATTATATGGTCACGTTATCCTGGAGTCTATGTCACGTGTGAGGTCTCACGTTATGTATTATTTTAACTTACATATAAATACGGTATTTTGTTAATATTTTTAATGATAATATTTATGACTAGTATTGCCCGCGGCTCCGCCTGCGTTCAGATGAGCAAAGACCAAATTCTTAGATTCTACATTGCAGTTTTTGTATTTTTTCTCAGAAATGAGACATTTTCCCGCGGTAAAAAGTATTCTATATGTTGACCCGGGTAACCAGCTATCGCCATATCAATTTTCAGCAAATCCCTCCAGTCGTTTTTCTGTCATGCGGTAACAGATAGATAGACAGATAGACAGACAGACAAATAGACAGACAAAAATTCTAAAAACTATAGATTCGGCCTCTGTATCTATAATAATGTTTATTTCAATAAGATTTTCTAAAAAAATATTTAATGTACAGATTCGGCTTAGTTACAATTTTATGATATTTATAGATTAAAGCCTTATATTTTTGGTGCATGATTTTACTGTTTCAAAACGACTAGTGGAAGGAGAAAAAGCGTTTTACTTTTACTAATGTGTATAATTTTATGCTGTTTTTTTTTATTTGTTTATTCATTTATCAGGCATAAACTGACTCTTATCGATTTATGCTCGACTTCAAAATGGAGGAAATATTAATTCGAAAGTGTTTTATAATATCTTCGCTAACGATGAACCAGTCTGAATGATTTTTATTAAATCTATTTGTAATACCTCTATATAAGAGTGTCCCCAGATAAATCTGAAGAAAATAAAACTCTACGGATGAGATAATTACTTTTTAATTGATTTTAAAACTGGTATCCTTTGTTAGTTAAATAGTAATCATTGCTTTTTACTTGATTTTATGAATATCTTATCTCTATATATTTGGTACTCATAAAGAAAAAATATCGTCTATTAAATACCTTTCGCCTCCATGGAATCTGTCAAGGATTACTTTCTCTGTTTCCGGTGGAACTGCTTCCTTTGTCGACCTCTTCCCCCTTCTAGTATCTAGGTATTGTCCAACATAATCTGCCATCATAGATGCAGCAGCATTACCCATTGATCGAGCGAAAATAGGCGGTAAATCCCCATAAGGATTTTCATTGTCTGTGAGCCCCAATTTGTCAAAGTCAACTGTAATTTGAGGAATGTTTTAATTTATTAAATATTATAATTATTTTCTAATTACAGGTTAATATGAATTAAAAGGTCATTTAATTATAATAATCTACGTGATTTTTAATTATCGATAAAGAAAAGTCAGAATACAAGTGTTTTTCCGCCATTTACACTCAAGGAAATTATATATGTATTATCTCATGTTTCGTAATGTGTAGGGGTTAGCTTTTAAAACGAAACTTTATGACTCAAAATGATTCTATATCTTTACATAATATAATCATTACTTACAAGTAGTTATTATAAGGAATTGTACATCTTTAGTGATATTTAACATAAATCAATGACTAATAGATCTAACATAATTCGTATAGTTTAATGATAGCATTAAGTTCAGCGAACTACATCAACAGGGTCATAACTTGAACATAAACTGAGCAGTAGATTATACTTAAATAGTATCTACATATATAAACCAAAACTAAGTAACGAGAATTATATACACTGACTGATCTGTTAGATATCTAAATTAAATAGCTATAACTACATTTAAACGCACAAATAAATATGAATAAAACTTCCTTCTGTCACGAGTATACAGCACTATCATAGGTACTTATTTATTTTTAAAATATTGCGCTGAAAAAATGTAAATCGACAGTGTGCATACAATTTAAAAAGAAATTTTATTTTAATAATTATTAAAGTACTCTTTGAATTATTAAATAAAATCAATTGTACTTTAATCGATTCCGTTGTGAAATCGATATGAGGATGCAGTCAACTACATTACAACGTAAATCAAACACTAAATACAGCTCTACACTACATTAAGAAACAGTATTCTGAAACGAATATAATTAACAAAACTACATGTACATCTAAATATGTATTGTGTGCTACTTCAACATCACTACTTGAGCTTTTGAATTTTAAAATACTGACTTTTACATTCCAGTTGATACATTATAGTACCTGCAAAACCATTATGCATTATATTTAGAACATGAATATTGCTTGTAAATAATTTCACTTCAAGTAAATCCTCACACTTCTTCTGAATAATATTACATCTTCAAATTATGTGTTGTTTATGTAATTAAGATTGACGTCTAGGAGATGATTATTTAAAAAAAAAAACAGTTCATTTAACCAGAGATTGAATTGATATCAGAGTGTGAGTTCATCTCCTGTGAAAACGTTATCTAGCTGATATACATTTTTTTTTTTCGATGAAAACCATAATTTGACGCATCGATGTAAACCAAATGAAGAACTCAGTGTTGATATGGTGTATTACATCAAATATAACATTTAGGTAAACATCCAACTATATAATTTTCAGATATTAGTACGTTATTGAAATTGCCATGACTTACTTGAAAAAGGAAAACTGACTGTCATATTAGAAAGGAATCCTTTTGGTGGGTGCCTCACAAAAGGCATAGATATTGAAGGTGTGATGGCCATAGTGGTTCCGGGCGGAAGCGCTAAACGTCCGTCATTTGTGATCCATAGTATCCTTTTCTGGCGAGAATGAGGGATATTCTCTTTGGCTAGTTCATCCTGATTTTCAGGAGATGCCATTGGCAGAAGTGCAGCTAGTGCTATACTGATCAAGACTCGTGGTATCCTCTCCATTGCCGTCTATTAAATCTGAAATCACATAATACTTAAAATTTTATAAGAACTGCTATTTATATATCTATATGAATTCATTAAATAAAAAGGTTTCATACGTCAAAAACGAAAACGTATATTGTATATACTTCATTTTGACAACTTTATTGTTTTTTTATTATATTGGATATATTGACATCGTTTTTTGGGTAATTATCTAATTTTAATTATTTAATTTAAAAAAAATATTATGAACACGTCTAAGTGTAAATACTTGCGAATTAGAAATCATGACGAGACTTTTAATATGGACGCAGGGAAATTTATAAATTTATTAGAATCACAGTTCAAAATCAATTTTAAATCGTTGCCACAGTGGAAAGAATTAATTGAATTAATCAATATATCGCAAACTGATTACAAAAGAAAACTCCAAAATGCAGAATACCGTAGAGCTGCGATTATACAAAAGCTTTATATACAGTACTATAGATTGTCACCTTTTGAATTAACAGACAATTTATTAAGGAGGGCCAATCTATGGAAAGAGTTAAAATCAAATATTAAAAAACACAAAATTAATTCGTTGGACAATCTTGTACCCGTACCTATACAAGATATAAGTAATGCTATGAGTGAGGAAGCAAATGTAAGTTCAAACGCTCACCCTAATACTGAAGTTATCCAATCAAAAGATCAGATAGATTTAAACCCAGAAATAGAGTTGGAAATTAAATCGAACAGTTCTCCTTGTTTACCTATAATTGTATATACAAATGAACATAAAATCATATCGCCCATTGGTTCGCATTACACTGTATTAAATTTAAAAGATGTTAAGAGTATTGAAAAAAGCTTAGCCGAGAGTTCGAAAGAAAATATTTTTGCTAACAATGAAACGAAATTCCTCAAGTGCTCTCCAAACACTTTAATGATAAGAGATAACATATTTCAAGAGCAAACCTTAAAATTTTCAATAACAAATTGTGCTACAGAATATTCCCATATACGATTTAAATGTATATCTGATAATTCTTATTTTAAAAACTTTACCATCGTTCCTAACATACCTGTTAAATTAAACCCAGGTCTGACAATATCCTATAAATTCATATTCGCACTTCAACAAAACCTTAAAGAAGAGGTCATAAATTCTAAATTATATTTCAGAACAGGTCGAAATGTATTAAGTCATAGAGGCGAAGAAATTCTCAGTATACCGATTGTTAGTGAATTTCAAAATATGAAATCTGTTACTGTTTCCAAAACAGTTTATATACCGTCTGTATATTCCTGGCAGGTAACAGGAGTATATAAATATCCTAAAGGCGTACTGCAAATAGATATTAATGACGAAATGACTTATAATGTATATATTAGAAAAAAAGATGTTGATATCGCTCAAGAAATTAGTCGTAGCTTAGATTCGCTGAAAGTTGCAGCTAGTCTTGATACAGAAAGCCTACAAGATAAAGAAAATGATAACGATTTTGAAAGTCGCAGTAAAATTTTATCTACTCCAAAAAGAACAACAAATGCCTTCAGCGATATAAATAATGAAGGTGATTCACTTATAACAGTTGATGTTGTAACGCTTGTACTAATTGATATTGTGAATCTTGTTCTTGAACCATTTGTATTTAAAAATACATATCTACGTCTATTTCCCAAATCTAAAAGGTTGGCTATAGTGTATTTGACGAAGGCAGAACATGTTGGCTATCACCATAGTTATTATGATTTGATTTTTGTCAATCCTGAAAATGACGAAACAGTTTTTATTAAAACAATAAAAGTATTTGCTGAAATTTTACCACATCCTATTTTAATACAGCCACCTATACTTGATATGACTAAATCACCAGTTAAGTTTGGTTTTTGTAAAGACCACTTTACTATTAGTAATACACATAAAATTTTCCCCGTAACAATAAAGATTAATACTACTTCAAAAATGAAGAACATATTCAAAATAACGCCAATGGAAACGCTAGTTTCTCCGAAATCAAAAGTAAATTTTGAAATTAGGATGTGTGTGAATGATAATAATGTTTTAAATAATATCGATGATTTCGCTTATTTTACATTTAAAATAGCAATCATCGGACACGACTCTATATATAGTAATGTTCCTCCATTTTTCTATGAAATTATAGCTCCTTATGATACAGAATTTATGAAATTATATGGCAAAAAATATTACAGAGATATGTTAACGTCTAGTCAAGATAATATTATTCCACGTTATTAAATATTAAGATATTTTGTAAAAAGAAACATTTAATGAATAATTTTAACTTACAATAATGCATGATCATCTTATTTTTAACATACATACTTTTAAAGAACGAGAATCTTAATAAATAAATTTAAAAAACACCGAAATAAATTTCATTTAAAAATTATAACTTTATTTTCGTGGGAAATGAAATTTACAGGTGTCAATGGCTCTCTCAGTCTCAGATATACTCGTATGTACGTGCGTAACTTACTTTCTCGCGTCATAAAAATTACATTAAGAAGTGTAGTACCGAGGAATGTCGCGAGGACAGCAAGGATTAAACTTGCTGACCAACTTATAAATGTGGTACGGGTCAACGAGATTGCCATATGCATAATATTCCAGTTTACGCAGGCAGGTCACAGACCGGTTACAAACAATCGATTATAAATCTCCGATGCAAGTGCTGTGACATCAATGTCAATGTTGCGGTAAATGCGGCTAATAAATTATAAGATGGCGGATTTTTTTTCTTAATTATAAGTATTTATGTTCGAAGGAATTGAGTAGGTAAGTTAGCTGTGTTCTAACAAGTTTCCCTGAAATTTATTAAGTTACATTTTAAATCATATTATTGTCAATATATTGTAGGTATTTCCGAAAATTATTTAGAAATATGTTTCACTGACTTCTAATTAGCCTAATGTAAGCTACACTAATAAATAATTTAATTAATATTATAAATGTGAAAGTTTAGATGTTTGGATGGATGTTTGTTACTCAATCACGTCAGAACGACTGACCGGATCTGGATGAAATTTGGCATAGAGATAGATTATAGTCTGAGTAGCACACAGGCTACTTTTTATCCCGGATAAATGTACGATTTCCGTGAGATAGATAGATTTGTTTTTGTTTTTCTACTCGTACTAAGAGGCATAGGGCCAACTTAGGAAAAAATACGCCTCTAAATAGATTAGCCCGCACATATAATGAGTAGTACCGGTAGTTTTAAAAATAAAATTTTAAGTACACTTAATTGAAATGAATGGAATGTAATGAATTTTTTGTACTTTTTCTTTATTTTACAATCATATTCATTGTATTGCTCTACATGTAATATATTATATTCATAATTTAATCTATAATCTATTTAATTTTTAATTAATTGTATGTACTATTTAATTGGTCACAAAAATGTATTAACTGTGTACATATCATTGTATATATTTTTATTGTTCTTTAGATGTTTAATGTTGTACTAATATAATAGCATGTTGTAATTACCTGTAATTAAAAGCGCAATCAGCATGTTTTATAGTAATGATTTTTTTATATGTAATTTATTGTAACTTTTGTTAGTAATTCTAATAAATAAATGTATGTATGTATCCATCCTTTTTTTAACGTCCCACTGCTGGGCACGGGCCTCCCTTCAGTACGAGGGGGATCAGACCATAGTCCACGGGCGGACTGGCGGACTTCACATGTCTTTCGAAAACTTGCTAGGTTCTCTCAGACATGCAGGTTTCCTCACGATGTTTTCCTTCGCCGTAAGGCAAGTGGTAATCATATTAGAAATGATTCGCACATAAAAATATCAGAGGTGCGAGACCCGGGATTTGAACCCGCTTCACTCGGTTTCCCAAGCGAGCGCATTAGCACTGGGCTACAGCTGCCTGTTAAATAAACACCGAACAAAAAAATTTTCTATACAATAAAGCCGTACACGCATGCACATACGCATGTGTTATTAGAAATCATTAAAATATATTAATGATAATGATCCATGCAACCTGACGACGCGTTAGCTTTTCTAAACTTCATTGTTTTTGTATTGTTTCCTAAAAACAATTGTAGAAACGGTCACGACGGTAAAACTTTGTGTTTTAACAATTTTAAGCATAATTTACTCATGTTTTTGAAAAGTAGGTGCATGTCAAATGTTAGTGTCGGTGCGCACATTATATGTGTTTCCTAGTAAAATATAAACATATTTACGAACATGGCCTTATTTTCAAATTGATATTATAGTTATTTGTTTTTACCACTAACTTACTAACCCGTCATTTGAATAAGAAAATGTTTTCTCGAATTACAATGAAATCTTAAGCAAGTACTAAATTCTTTATTCAATTGACACCTAGACACTTAAGTGGTTTAGTGTACTTACGAGTTTATCGATTCCAATTTCCAGAAAGGAACTTCTAATTGACACAATTTTTTTACTCATACGTTTTTCTCACAAAATCAAAAAAAAATTGATTAAATTTTCATTAATTCTAATCACTTTCGTGCTATAAAGACAGTAAATTACATTAAATAAATAAAACGTAGTATTCATATGTAACATACATTTTCTATATAAATACAAGTGAATGGTCGTATGTTAGTTAGTTAGTTATTGTTATATAATCTATGCGTTGCTAAACCATTGATCGGATTGTGATGAAACTCTGGTGAGTTATTCTCTTTACATCTACAAAAGTTTCTGTCGCAAAAAAAATCTTTGGACGTTTGTCTATATATATAATAAAAGTATACCTGATCGCTATCGATACATGGAAGACATTTGAGAAAAAATATCATTGAGGGTCTTTAGAACCCAAAACAATGATTTTTAGAATTTTTGTCTGTTTGTTGGTTTGTCTATGCGTTTATGCGCGCTAATCTCAGAAAGGGCTTCATCGATTTGGGTGTGGTTTTCACTAATGTATTTTGGTAAGCTTCACTTAAGATTTAGTGTTTGTTTTATTTCAATCGATTCATATTTATAAAAAAGTTATGTCAATTTAAAGAATCGCCTAAGGACGAACCCGAGCGAGGCGAGGGCAATTCACTAGTATATAAATAAATAAATATACTACAAGTATATTATCTTTTATCTAACCATCACGGTCTTTGCTTTACAGGGTATACATAGTTTTCGTCACATCTGCTTACATCATATGTCGTAATCAATTCTATAGTCAATATAAAAGTTGATCCATGCAGAACTAAACCTGTAACCGTTGTATAGACTTCATATATTTGTATTACAACTAGTACTACATATATATTTAAAACACTGTTGTAAAAGTATAAACATTAATAAAAGAATATTCCCTATGGATTTGATTGCTGCATTGAGCGAATGTTACATAAAAAATATTTGTGTTTGTTTCTTTTTAATTAGGAAAATGTAAACAAATAAACAAGAGACCGGTTCCTTTGTTAAGTCTGCTCAAAAAAATACTTATCTTTAAAGAAAAACCTACTTTTATAAATTTAATGATCACATTTATTAGTCGCTCGTTCATCGGCTAGCACCGATTAAAAAAAATCTGATTAGGAAAGCGAAAGGTCACTTGTTCACTCAATGGCTAAATACGAAATCTCTAAAACTACATATTACGCTGAAATTTGGCTTTTCTGAATATAGAGACATCGTCTCGGCTAAGATTTTGCGGCAGGACCACATTAAGCAGATCTAAAGGAATCCTAATTTTCTATGATAGTTCTATGCTTTCGCTGCTAAATACATATTATAAGTTATTCTGACACGTAAATTTAATATTCCAACGATTTCTGATATTTTTTTTATTATTATGTAGGTACTAGCGGCTCACCCTCGCTTCGCTCGGGTTCGTCGCTAGGTACGTTTTAAATAGATATAAAAAGAAAAAATCTTTCTTTCTCACATTTTAATTATATGTTTTAATACTTACCTATTCCGGACTAAGAGAAATCCAAAAATTAAAATATCATAAAAATTGGAACGCGGTCGAACGGGATAAAAAGTATCCTATGTCCTTCTCCTGGCTCTAAACTACCTCCCTGCCAATTTTCAGCTAAATCGGTTCAGCCGTTCTTGAGTTATAAGCGAAGTAACTAACACGACTTTCTTTTATATATATAGATTAGTACATTGAACAGTTATGAATTAACATCATTTACATGACCTAAATACATACATAAATTACATTCTTACATGGCCACAAGCTTTAGCTAAGACTGTAATAAAAATTATAAGATTACTTTCTGCATTTGCCTACAGCAGGTAATTTGTACTACATAGTTAGAATTACACGTTTAAAAAAAAGTTGTAGCAGCTATATCTTAAACGCAATTTATTATCTCGAATCTATCTATACTTAATACACAGAAGAGTTTATCTGATACTTTAGAGCCGCACAATCTTGCGCCTAAATATGCTACGCGGCTGCACCGACGCAGTCAAATAGATATCAGTGGCATTGCCTCATATGCCGCAATATACGATTACTAGTAACTCACCCTCGCTCCGCTCGGGTTCGTCGTCGTCGTCGTTGTTCGTACTACGTTTCAACGTTTGTATAGATTTCTCAGAGATGACATAATTTCCCGCAGTAAAAAGTATCCTATATGTTGACCCGGATAACCAGCTATCATCATACCAAATTTTATCAAAATCGCTCCAGTGGGTTTTCCGTGATGCAGTAACAGACAGACAGGCAGACAGATAGACGAAAATTCTAAAAACTATAGATTCGACCTCTGTATCGATAATAATGTCTATTTCAATAAGATTTTTCAAAAAATATTTAACGTACACATTCGGCTTCGTTACAATTTTATACTTCTCTTCTTCTTCTCCCTGCCCATTCCTCAATCACTTGGGGTCGGCGCAGTACATCTTCTGTACTGCTGATAGGATTTGGCAAAACTTTTACGGCTGGCCGCCTGCCTGACGTCAACCCTCCTTGGTTTTTTTACAATTTTATTATATGTATAGATTTACTCCGGTTCGGTAGTTCGGACAAATCAATAATTTTTAAGTTTCAATATCGAAAAAGAAAGGAGAAACAAGTCACTAAATTCTCTCTGTCAATTTAATAATGAAAAAGTGGTATGATATGTTGGTAAATGCAGTATGAGAGTTCGTATTCGTAGCCTACCTACTTATCATGTGTAACGTCACTTATACATATGTTATCGTGGTAAGGTTGAAAATCGATTAAGAATGGATATTTTGGAGTGTAATCACGCTTTGTTTTGTATTCACTCCT